TTTGTAGGTTGACTGCAGTAGCCATCAGGTACCATTCAGGTGTAAATATTTACAAAGGTGTTAGGAGGATTTAACTTAGTCACAGACGATCGACTATGTTGATGATGATCCATTCGAATATGCAGAATTAAAACACACGGTTTAGAAGTGGTAGAAGGGAGTAATATTTTACAAGTGCGAGGGTAGCAGGTGTGCTCCCACTGAATTCATTGCCCGGTTTGAATTTTTGTTGTATTTGTGTTAGAATATTTTAAGTTATAGACATAGTTTTAAAGAGAGGTAGTATCCAGCAATTAATTAAAACAGGCAAATAAAAAGCAGCTTCTTTTCCTTGCATTTTGAGAGGCAATCTTTCCAGCAAAAAATAAGTCCTTGCCAAAAAACACTTCATATGTGTATCGATTAGAATAGAGAAGTAACTGTGCAATAAGAATACGTAGAGCTTTCTCTATAATATTATGAGATACCTGTAGTTAGGTATATAGGTATATTACAAGGTATCGTCGTTTAGTGGCGGCAAACAACTACAAAAATCAACTACAACCATACCATCCCGTGCCGACACCCAATAGGCGCGGTATCGTCACGGGATGGTAGCATCTTCCCTATAAACCCTACCTATAAAACCTGCCAAGCAGATGGCAACTATAGTCACCATGCCAAAGAGTCTATGGGGGAGGCCTACGTTCAGTAGTGGACTTTGATAGGCTGTCATTATGATTACGATGAATATTAGCTTCAATAACTTAGAATCAATAAAATACAAATTACTTTGAGTACATAATATTAACTTTTCTAACAAATCATATCGTGGCTTGGGAGAGCTTCAATTTGAATAGAATAAAATTCGTGTCTACTATTTTTTTTTGTTACCTACTTGCTTGCACTTTGGATAGATTAGTTTTTTACGTGGTAGAGCCATGCTGCAGCTATATTAGTAGTATAGTTGTAGCACGAATGGGTCGGCTCGACCGGGGAAGGACCACGCTCTCACAGAATACCAGCGTAAAATAGCAGCCTAACACTGCTGTGTTTCGTATGGTGAGTTTAGAGAACCGGAGATCATTTTTACTGGAAAAGAGGCATTCCATCTTGGTCCTCATGGGTGACAACGCATCTGCATTCTGGTTCTTTATTGAGGATAGATGTAGATGTCTATGGGTCACAGCAACCACTTACCATCAGATGGACTGTATGCTCGTTTGTCACCCTATCAAACAGTGTATTGAGTCGAGGCTCCTACACCTGCACAGTCCGCGGAGGAAGCCAGGCGTGACGTCGCAGGCGGGCGCTCACGCGGACATCGGAAGTCATCCGCTATTGATAGCATCTCATTGTGCTCGGAAATTGCGGCCGGATGTTGCCAGAGACGCGGCGCGTGCGCAACTCCATTGCCCTAGCGTGTACATACCTTTCTACATTGTCTGCACGTACTGTTTTTGAATATAGGTGAACTTAGAAGAAGATTTATAAAGAAATGCCTAAATTGTTAATCCAAAGTTGAAGATAGTTACGCAATTATAGAAATACATATATCACTGTTTTCTCGTATAATAGACGAAGATTTCCATTTTCTGTTACGAAGTAGAACCACGTTACAGCTGCATCACAATGTCTGCAGCACAAATGGCTTGAGTGATTGTTGTGTTTCGTTTGGTGATACCGGAGACCTTTTTTACTGGAAACGAGACATTCCACCTTAGTCCGGAGGGATGACAACGCGTCTGCATTTTGATTCTTTATCGAGGAAATATCTAGGTATCTATAGACCAAAACCCATATTCTATAAAAAAATCAAAGTTTCAAGTATTAAATGAATTGCCTTAAGTACGTAAATTATTCATCATAATCATCATCATTACAGCCCTTCACAAGTCCACCGCTGAACATAGCCCTTCCCGAATAATCTATCCCACATATTGCCATAGTTGCCACGCTTGGGGTGCGGGTTGGCAACCTTAGTTTTTTTATTGTTGTTTTGCTGTTATAAGAAAGATGCTGCTGCCCATCTCCTGCTTTAACTTCCCTCTGTCGTCTCACGACACACACGGAATTATATGGGGTAGTAGATATTCTTACACCGAGGAATTACACGCTTTAATTCCTCCCTCTCCTTTCCCCCATCGGACAACGAGGCGGTCGGCGGGTCATCATCCCTTTGTTGTCGATATTCCACGCATTAGAACCAAACGGTTTGCTTCGTCTTTGGTAATGCGTACAGCAAAGGAGTGGAATAATTTGCCGGCGTCAATCTATCCGTCCGAATACAATCTGGGCGTCTTCAAGGCAAGAGTGAATAGGCTTTTGTTACGATAAGACAGTGCGATTTACCATCTAAGGCTGCATCACCACTTACCACCAGGTGGGATTGTGGTCAAGCACTGGCTTATAATAAAGAAAACCCCCATGTAGTGGAGGGTGTAAATTAGAGAAAACAATTAAGTAAAATAAACTGAAAATTACTTGTTTATTTTTCACTGTTAAATAAGATAACAGGAACTGTCATAGCTACTACCTCATCCCGCCAGTGTTATAAGAAGCGATTTAGAAAAATGACCAGAAGAGAAGAGTGACCTCTTATATATGGCGATACAACCATCTAAAAATCCGGACAAGCGATAGTAAGTAGCGATAGGGAGTTGACATGCTAGACGTGGGATCGAATAATAGCTAATCCAATTTTAAATCAACGAAGGTCAGGAAATTAATTGCGTTACTCAGGTATTTTTCAGCCGACTTTAAAAAAAGGAGAAGGTTCTTTATTCATCGGAATATTTTTGTAGATATGTTGAGCGATTACCACATTATTCGATTGCAATGATTATTTTACAGGAAAGGGATAATTTAGGGTTGGTCTTATGAATTTGATCAAAATATGATGAAATTTATTATTATATAATATATAAATATTATTAATTACTTATATCATGTTTTTTTTTTTAGTTTTTTGAAGTCTGTAAATAAAACTAGTAAGAACATTTTAAAAGTTTAGTTTGTATGCATTTTATACACAAAATATACACAAAAATCCCAAAAAAATCTAATTAACTTAAAGGAATGGCAAAAAAATTATAGTTATGAAAAATTTCAGTCATATGGATCGGAGGTACCCTAGTCACAGTACCATAGACATGTATTTTCTTACAATTTGGTCTTTTTCTTTTTATGCGTTTTTCTTGAATGATCAACTTACCCAAGGTATCTTTAGCATCTTTTATCCCTATTCTTTCCAGCTTAGTAATAAATTGACAAATTCGAATTCGAATTTCACTTTACCAATAAGCCTCTTAGATAGATGGAATAGTACCTACCAGTAGGTATCATAAAATAAACATAAAATTCTTCGGGCAGATGTTTATACAGACCGGTCAGTAGATACTAGCGTAGACTGCCTCGTTGATCTAGTGGTCGTAAACGCGAGGTCCTGGGTTCGAATCCAAGGTCGGGCCAAAATCGGGTTTTCTGTCAATAAATTATCAGTAGCAGCCTGGAGTCAGGAAGTTAGCGTTGTTTCACTCCCGTGCCACGGAAAGCACGTAAAATCCGTTAATCCTGCACCGGATCTCTCTCCGGTCGCGTCGAATTAACGTCCCATCGGACTATGACAGTGAGGGAATAGAGAGTGCACCTGGGCTTGCGCATACACTTGGGCACTATAATCCCGTCCTGCGCCGATGGCTCATCTCCGTTGAGGTCGAGCGCCGTGACGGAAATTCGGTCTGGAGGACTTTACTAGCGTAAATTTGCAGCATAATACTCCTGTATTTCTGGTAAGTATAGAGAACAGAGAGACATTCCATCTTACCAAGACTAAAATGATGTTAGTCCTCAGATGCATAGTGCATGTATCTGCATTCTCATTCTTAATCGATGACAGATGGAGGTTTCTATTGGCTACATCATCCACTTAGGTACTATAAGGTAGTCCACCCTATAGTAAATGGATGTTGTAAGTAATATCCTACTGATATGTGGGATCTTCTGTTACCTAAATTTACTTTTTTTTATAAAATACAATAATGTACCTATATCAAGATAAGGTGTTAAAATTGTGCTTATATTATTTAAGACTAAAGAAAAATTTAAAGTTCCAAAATTCATACCGTATCGCGGTGCAATGGAGCCGCTCTCCGGCACCGCGTGTCTCACAGAATTATTTCTGACATTTTTAGACTCATTGTCCTCTCTGAATACGGAGTCACGCTCCAAAAGAAATTAATGCAGTTGATACATACGAGGCCTTTGTTAGCTCCGATGTCACATAGTTTTACCTACTGCGCGTGTACCTACTACCTACTCGCAGCTTAATACGACCTCTCGTCGTACCTCAGCGACGGAACGGAAACGAACGACGAGAGAGCTGTGGAATGTTTAATTAAATTTTTTAAAGTATTTATTATGTGTCTTTAAATACATAGCACGAGTAACTTGGTAATGATAAACTATAATGACATTATTGGCTGATAAGGCGTTTTATTGACATTTTGAGATACTATTTGAATAAGAAATTTGTCTTGTAAGATTTTGTCCTTACTTTATTTTAAGTTTTTCTTAATCTTTTAAGTGTTTTTGCGGTTTTATAATAACACCCGTGTTAATTTATATTTATTTTCAAAATTATTTGAAAATTTTACGTAGGCGTTCTATTTAAATAAAACAATACCTAATCTTGTGATGCTCTATATTTAATTACATCTGTTGGTTTTCCAGCATATTCTAGTAAGTTTTAAATTAAAATATATATATATATATATATATTATAAATACACATAAAACACCTAAACGTTTTGGAAAGTTGCTTGTTGACATAATATTATTGTAGAGTAAGAAATTGTTTTGGCATACGTAACGCCTTGCGCGCTACACCGGAGCAACGCTCCGGCGCAGCGCACGGGCAGGTGTGCAACAACCCCCCTTCTTGTTGCAGAGCGGGCGCTACGGCGCGGCATGCGCGGGGGCCTGCCCGTCGCCCGTCCGCCCAATCGCGGCCCGTCTCGCCTATGATGTCATCGGAGGAGGAGGCCGACTCGCACGCGCCCTACTCCGATAGACTGCTCAAGAAACAGAAACGCGTCAGACAGCGCGTGGACGCCGGCGAGCCGCGCAATTCCTATTCGACTCTCGCGACGAACGGACCCGCGCCCGCGCGCGCCTTACACATGAGTGGCGGACTTTACGGCGCCATCTTCGAGGGCCGCCAACACTTCGGCCTCTTCGGACCCGGCTACGCGCCGGCGGAAATGTTGAACGAGCTCCTTGGCCGCGCACCGCGGCAGGACGATGCCGGCGAAGAGGCCTCAGGTGGTGACATCGCACACCGGGTGCTGCGCGATATCCTGCAAAACCGGAAAAAGGAACTGCTTCGGCTATCACCGGATAACAACAACGTGCTCGCCAATAACAATAATGAGCCCAAGGAGAAACGCTCACCGGAGCGGCCAGCTTCACACGATTCCCGCCCAGATTTGGACGACGCTCTCCTAGCACTGGAGAACGCAGGCGACTCGCGCACTTCACCGTCTCCCGCGCAACCGAACTCCGAACCTCTATTAGCTCCTAAATCCGAACCGGAGGACCGCGATAGTGACGTTCAGCGTTCCTCGCCGCGACCCGTCGATGTGAAACGTGCTCGTGTTGAGAACATAGTGTCGACCATGCGTTCTAGTCCCGCGCCACAGCAGCCGCAAGTGAACGGCTGTAAAAAGCGGAAGTTGTATCATCCACAGCAGCACGACGGCGCCGCGGAGCGCTATGGCACCAACCACGGCAGCAGTGCACAGACGGTGTCAGACGATTCCGAGGATGAAGGTGAGCGACCTATTCAACAAAAATTAGTAGAAAAGAATGCTTTAAAATCACAATTAAGGACTATGCAAGAACAATTAGCTGAAATGCAAGAAAAATATATGCAATTGTGCAATCGTATGGGCCAGGAGTCTGAGACTATAGATAATGATGGTGCGTCTAGTGATGTAGAACAAACCGAAGACCCTGTGCCAAAATCGGAGCCTCCTTCGCCCGCGAAAGAAGTGCCTCCCCCTATACCAAACAGTGTTGCACCAAACATGCTAACACAAGTGATGAATAAGATGATGTCTGCAAAGATTCACGCGCATGGTGGACCACATCCTCACCTACCACCTAGCTTTAACGGTGCTCTACCTCTGATTCCTCATATGCCATCCAACGACCATATGCACCCGCCTCATCCGCACCAACATCTCAATAATGCAGCAGCGATGTACGCTATTAATGTCGGTCAAAAGTTGTTCTTAGAGCAAGAAGCGAGGATGAAAGAAGCAGCTGAGCAACAGCAAAACAACCAACAACAGAGGCCACAGTCGAATCAGCACTCTCCACAACAGAGGCAACTCGGACAAACTCCTAAGCCACCTCTATCCTCAGAGCTCGCTGATCGCCTTGACGCGCTACGTAGCAATGCAGGCTCCGTCGGTCCCGTATCGGGTGCAGATTTAGAAGGCCTGGCTGAAGTACTTAAAAACGAGATCTCGGCGTCTTTAACGACACTTATCGACTCCATTGTGACGCGATTCGTCCACCAGCGCCGGATCATGGGCAAACAATCGGAAGCGGCCGCGGCGGCAGCGGAACAACTGAACAAAGATTTAATGAGAGCTACGCGGCTTATCGAGAGGAAATCGCCGACGCTGAAGCAAGAGAGGTCTTCCGGACAGATGTCAGGTAATACACCCGTTCATCACCCGGGCGCGCCAAACGGTGTCCCATTCATGACACACAATCAGCTGCTGATGAGCCAGATGAATGGCCCCCGAGCGCCCGGCGGTGCGGCCTTCCCGCTGCACGGCGAGGCGAGTGGGCCCGGCCACGGTGCTCACGTGCGGACCCCAACAGGCATGTTCCAGACGCCGCCGAAACTCGGCCCGCTGTATGGGCCGATGAACGGACACTTCGAGCGCGAGCCCAACCCCGAGCAGAACGAGGCGCTCAGTCTCGTCGTCACACCAAAGAAGAAGCGGCATAAGGTGACGGACACGCGGATCACACCGCGGACCGTCAGCCGGATCTTGGGAGAGGGCGTGGGACAGTCGCCGGAGTCGCCGTCGCCGCGGCCGTTTCCTGGCGGGATGGCGCTACCTACTTCCGTAGCGATACCAAATCCATCGCTGCACGAGAGCCAAGTGTTCTCACCGTACTCCCCGTTCTTCGGCGCGGGTGGCGGTCTCGCGCGATCGCCGCCTGCTCCCGAGCGGGATTCTCCTCCGCTGCCTCATCCGCCGGCGCTGCTACACCCCGCGCTGCTGGCACACCACGCCTCCCCAGACTACCTCCGCCACCACCACGCTCACGGCGCGCACAACGCCGCCGGACCTCACCACCCACAACATATGGACGCGCAAGATCCACACTCCGACTGCAACTCCACGGACCTGCCTTATGACGGAGTGCAGCCTACTATATCCTTTTACAATACACTATTATATTTTAAAATTACTAATCATTATTTACAGATGCGTCCTTTCCATATGATAAAGTTACAATCAAAGTAAATTAATATAGACAACGCTAATGCTCTTACAGCGTGATTCAAATGGTGACATGCATACGCCCACACATATCTTATTTCTGTAGTATTTAACCTTACGACTGCCGCCACCTGCTTCCTACTTAGTAGATGACATTATACGACTCTGGAAACCCGACAAATGCTGCGGTTTCTACGATATACACCTCCCCATCTACACATAGAACAATGAAATGCAATGAAAGATTAAAGCTTGAGTCTTGAGGAAAGCAATGGCACTATTTAAAAGCCGAACGATTCGTTTAAAATTGTATCTCTTTTATTTTTAATTTTTTGTCATTGGTGGCCAGTACTCACAAGAACAGCAATAGATAGATAATTAAAACAATAAAGGCCTTTATAGACATCGGCTAAGGTACTTTATAAGATTAGATGCAAACGGATTAAGACTTGTGGTGCTTCGCGAGTGAGCCTACGTAATAGTGGGATATAATCAGATTTGTATCTACTGCCCTCCGTGTCTTTAAATTACTGCCCACTGCTATTCTGGAAACAATTCCTAAATAACAGATCTAAAATTGTTAGCTGAGCTCTGGTTTAAATCATTCATTAACACTTGTCCAATGTTAAAAGTTACTTTGATTGTTTATGTAAATTTCCTTACAACACTTCTTTGCGAATAGATTACGTACTAAAATTAATTTTTAACAAACATAACTAATTTTTCTGAAATTTAATTGCTTTAAAAATTATCTTTCTCACGATTAATGCTATCTTTTCGATAGTTTATTGTTGATAGAAATTTACAAATTACGAATAATAGAAAGTAATTATGTCATTTAGTATATCTTAAAATTAATGCGAATGCAATCGAAACTAAACATGCTTAGACTTAATTTAATCAATTTAATTATACCTAAAACCTCTTTAGAATATTAATATGTCATTGTGTCAATACAATCCATAACTCCATTGCACTCGTCCACGCTAACGCCGATGCACCTCCGCAAGGCGAAGCTCATGTTCTTCTGGGTGCGGTATCCGAGCTCCGCGGTCCTCAAGATGTACTTCCCAGACATCAAGTTCAACAAGAACAACACAGCGCAGCTCGTCAAGTGGTTCTCTAACTTCCGGTGAGTTTCTTTTTATTATCAATCGTAATTACTTGTGATAATTCAAGATTTCGACGTTCTTAATCGCCACGAGAACCTAATGGCGAATCTCGGTGCACAAATAAAATTATTAATTTTAATAAACGAGATGAAAAATTTAAAATCTTTAAAACACACGGGAATTTAGGATTTTTTTTTATTGGTGGATTATTTTATTATTTATTTATTTTATAGAATAAGGGTGATAAACGTGCACACAGTCCACCTGATGGTAAGTGGATGCTGTGGCCCTATGTTATTTATCCTCCATTAAGAAATAAACTACAGATGCGTTGTCACCCTTTAGGACTAAGATTCAGTGCCTCGTTTCCAGTAAAAATTGTTAATTGTAGTAGTTCTCAGTAACAGTCATGTAAATATAAAGTTAGTTAACAAATTTCACTACTTTTTTCTAAAGTGTTTTAATAATGGTCCCTTTTACATTTCAATCAGATTCGTTGATAATTTGAAGAGGCGTTAACGAAATCGTTAATTCTCTTACAACGAAGTAAAACGATTAGTTAATGGCAATCAAGGTTTCTTCTCAGACCGTGGCATAATCCTGTTATCCGATCATAATTCATTAAGGGGTTGTAAATTCACTATTTCCTCATTTTAATCGTAGATAGGGACAACCCTTAAACTATTAGGGCCATTTGGGGTGTATAACGTGTAAAATGTTATTATATTTTTTACATAGATAACCATGTATCGTAACAGGCGACAGACAGAAATTAAACAGTAGATGAACAGACCAGCATCTTTTTCATAAGAACGCAATGATGATAAAAATCTGCGGCTTCCTAGTGGCTACCCGCTTGCCAAGTTTGGCAACTATGGCAAATATCTTCCCCATGAAGCAATCTAAAGGGAAGGCGTATGTTCTTTAGTGGACTTTTGACGGGATGTAGGCAATGAACGTAATGAAAAATAATATAATATGACAAAATATAGTTTTAAACATTTTAATTTGACTTCATTTTAGTAAAAATAAAGGCCAATTTAGATATTAGAAAAAAGAACGTGAAATTGTTTGTGGAACTTGTTAAATAATAAATTTAATACATCTCGTTTTAGTACCATTTAAAATTAAATTGTTTGCGTTAAACCAATGCTAAGGACTAAGATATAATGCTTTGTTATCAGTGACAAGACGAAAATTTAAAATTTTGTACAAATGACTTCAACATGAATTTAATTTATTGATGACTTTTTTTAAATCAACTCGACTGATTTCAATAAAATTTAAATGGGAAGAACCCTTTGAAACCAAAAAAAAAACTTCCGAATCGGTTCAGGCGTCTTTGAGTAATCGGTGAACATACATAAAAAAAAAGATTCCGACGAATTAAGAACCTCCTCCTTTTGAGAAATCGTTTGAAAAAATGTAAATAGAAAGTTGCTATAACTTATATCTAATATCAAGCCATATGAAGCATCCACTGTGTAATCACTGTTTAATAAAAGGTATATGTAACACGTAGCTTATTAAGGTCTAGTCCTAACAGAATAAAAGATGAAGGTATTACAATGAATTATTTATATAAGAAATGTCTGGTTCTAGCATCGTATAAACAGTCTAATTATACATTCAATGCTTGCCTGGCCTTTAATTTCATTTAAGTTACACTTGAATACGGTAAATAGTCGTTTGTCCTAGGATAAATAATGGACAAGTTGTCTTGTTTCGATTTTACAATAGAAATTTCAATGGGGTTTAAGTAATGATATTGATGCGAAAGTACATTTACATATTGGCCATTGATTTCCTTTGTTGTGTATAGTCATGTCTTTATTAGATATTTTACACTAATACTTTTTAGTTTTGGAATGAAGTTCCTTATCGCACGGTACGAATTTGACGGATTGGGGCTAGGCGAGAAAAAGTGTAAGATTTTTCCGTCACGACCGCCTTTCTATAGTGCGAGCGGGATGGAATAATCCATCTCTCTCACACTTTTTCTTATCTTGCCATGAAAGAAATATTATTTTAAATGACGCTCCATTTTAAAAGTCACTAGTAATTCATTTATTTGTGAATCAATAATACATGTAATACGTTTATCAATAACAATATACTACGAAAGGAACTTCATTCCAACCGAGTGTTCCACGACACTGACGCATGTTTTTTTTTTTTGTTTAAATAACTGTGATTGTTCTTTAAAGCCTTCCCATCGTTCTCAAGTTATTGTTTTTGGTTCAATAATTTGTAATAAAAGTGTACAAGTAACGGAAAAATCCCTTTCGGTATTGATTTGTACTCGACAAATTTTCGCGTTATCTAAGCCTAATGATAAGAGGCACCTGCCATAAGCCGCGTGCTCCTGTGATAAACACGTTTCCCCATCTTTTCTTATCTACACATTTGCCATGATGTAGTTTTCTGAAACACTCGATACCAACTATAGCGGCTCTACGATAACAATGCCGGGGTAGATCGACCGTTCGAAAAAGTGTCCAGTGATTGGAGAATTCGCGCCCGTCAGTGTGTACCTAACACTTCAGTTCAATATATCGACGTATTTTCATATCTCAAGATAGTCGTATCTCTTAGATAAAAGAAAAGCTTTGTAAAAGCTTTGATAATATTAATTCGTTGTGTGCGTAAAAATTGAAATTTCGGCTTACGAGTGTTTCATTAGTACCTAATTATGAAAGGAATACTATATGAATTATTATTAATAGACCTGCTACAAATATTCGGCTATTATTAGGTATTCGGCATCTTATTCGGCCGAATACCGAATACTTAAGTAAGAGGTTTTATTGTAGTCAGATAATAATGGGTAAAATGAAAATATTTTTTTTTGTAATCATTAAAGTAGTCATAGGCTGTACATAATATCAACTTCCATATTATAAAAATTTAAAAAATAACTGTCAGATAAATGTCTATGCACTCGAATTATCGTAATAGAAGTGGAAGATAATGGTGTAGAAAGACTAAGTTTTCTTCATTTTTACTCTTTTTCTTCTCGTAGACAATCTCAGCTTCAGAGAATAGAGGCTGTGAAGATTAAACACTACTTCCTTTCCAGCCGAATAGTTTTGCCTAATATTTGGCTATTCGTCCAGGAAGTCCGCAGAATATTCGGGATTCGGCGTGTGGCCGAATATACTATTCGTTGCAAGTCTAATTATTAATCTATTTTCAGCCATGAAATATCCTGATTATTTATGTTCGAGCCAAGTAAAGAATTGTAAAATGTACCTTAAATTTTTTCTGTGACGCCACGGCCACGGTACTTCGTCTTACCTCAAGTTTGTCCATTAGTATTGTACCCTTAATGGTCGCATTGTGGGCAACGGAAAGCGGTCATTTCCTTCGCGATAAACATCTCTGAAAATATAGTGCTGAAAGGGCGAGGGGGTCATTCCGGAGGCGCACGGAAGGCAATTACAAGGCGAGGTGTCCGCGGGCTTCAATAACAAATGACATTTTAAATTTACCAAGAACATCGATTCTAAACAGCGACGGTTCTAAAATCAGTGCCGCAAATACGATTTTAGTTTTTACATCTTATATATACAAAAGCAATTTTGCATACTGTTTTTTAATTTATTTTAAAAAACATTACATATATATTGCATTTAAGTTTCGATTAATTTAAGTTCGTACTTATATAAACATTGATTTTTATAATAGTCGTTAACGTTATCGGTATACGTTAATTACAAGATTAGGTTAATGAATATTTCACTAACATAAAAAGTACTGAATAATAATTGAGAATACGATTAAAAAGTTCTAACACGATAGCCTTTGCAACATCGATAACCGACGTCGATAATTACAGCCGTAAAAGTACTAACTTTTTTTTTAATTAAGTGCAACACAGAAGCTGGATACACTGAGCCTCATTACGCTTTTGTATTTTTTCTTTTGTTATGAAGATAAGAAGCATGTTTGCTAAATATAAAAGCTTAGCTATGGAAAGTTATTGATTTATGAGTTTTAATTGCGTTCAAGAAATAACTAATCCAATTCGCAAACGAATTCTCGCTTTTTCGATTTATTTATTCTGTATTAAATAATATAGCTATTGTTCCCTAAAATTGTAATAAAGTGTCGCAAAACCACATTTTATCTGTTGTCGGTCGCTAGGAGGAAAAGAACAAGCTCACTTACTAATGGCCACTTTCATGTAAGCTTCAAGAACACTAATGTTGAGAGCGCTCCTTGCGCCGTTTAAAAAATCTTTCTAGTTTTTCTTGTACAACGCCTTTTAAAAAGCCGTCACAAACAGTCTTATGAAAATATTTTTTTTATTTGTCGCCGAAACGATAAACTAATAAATGAATTTTACTTTTAAGTTTGACAAAGTTGGCGCCAAAGGCAAAAGTGTCGCTTTTACACAGCCATATTATTTTTTTGTATGTGGCAACAAATTCTATACAAGGCAAACATTGCTGCATTTCTCGACACGAACGCAGAGAGTCTTTTAAGTCTCCGGGGGCAAAACAAACATCCTTCACTCAAAGTCGATGCAAAGACAAATTCTTTTGGCGCGCTAACTCAAAGAAGTACGCGGGCCCGCAAACAAAGAGTCACCCGTAGAATTAGCCGTTGCGACGATAGCGCTAATTAGCAACGGTGACTCGCTTAAGTTATTTCGCTTAATTAAGTTGCGCAGAAGTGGTCTGCGGCCGGCCCGTCACAGAAGGCGCTGTAAATTGTTAGAATACGGGCAACACTCCAATTAATCTTTTTACACATCCAACTAGTCGCATGAGGGTGCGCACTTAGACGAGCCGAGCCTCAAACCTTTTTAAACGTTCGCACACGAGCGACTAGTTACTGCAGTCGCACAATATGAATGCGGACTGTGGCGTTTTTCTTTTCAAAACGATAGCAACAAAGTGTCAAACAGGAACATTTCATGTCAACATTTTGTTACCATAAACAATATAATACTTATTGCGACTAGATAAATTACATGGTGGAGCGCGCGCCCGATGCATCAACGATTTTATTTAAT